AAAATTAAGCCGCCATTCACGTCATAGACACGTTCGGTTTGTTTGGTTCGCTTTCTTCGGAACATAATGAATGTTCTTCTCGCTGCATGCGCCCCATACCCGCCCCAGTTCAGTGTTCACTTCTTCTCCGCCGTGCTTGACTCCGGGAGCGAAATTCCGAATGGGAAATACGAAATGCGAAATGCAAACTCAAAGAACGTCGAAGCGGTGCGAGAAGTCGGGCGCGCCGACGACGTCTCGAGCGCGTTTTCTTGATGGATTAATCTGCTGCTAATGAGCGTAAGAGCGATAAGTCTCGTGCCGCCACCGCCGCCGCCGCGCGCACACAGCTAATTAGATGAATGCAAACGGCGGCGCGCGGCGAAGAAGAAGGGCGATCGCTCAACAATGCCTCCTGCCCGCTGCCGCTGGAGGAGCCGTCCCCGCCGCACTGAAGGCGAAGAGAAGAAGAAGAATTCCGGTGTGCGTGTGCCGCCTTCGAACGCCAACGCTTTCAATCCTATCTCACACGTATCTGCACATCTGAGCGGTGAACGTTGCTTAAATTTCGGCGTGGATAACGCCAGACAAACAAGAGGAGTGTGGCGTATCGTGTGGTTTTCTTACCGACTCGCTTGAATCACTTTAACAAAACCGAACACAATACACTTATTATCCTGGCAAATATCTAACAGATATATAAATGAATAAATCAATGGAGTAAAAATAAAAAACACGAAATAAATCCCAAAATTATTATTTATTTGTTGTTAATTCCTTTTATGGAGTTAATAATGATTTTATATAGGATTTTAGATTGTTTATTGAATCATACTGTATTTATAGTTTCAAGCTGGAAAGGAACAAGATTAATGTTCGTGCCGTTCAAGCACAGTCCTTTTTTATTTTATGGTTTGATGGTTTGCAAAATAGGAAATGCAAAGCATCACAAATCGAATAACAAACCTTTAGGTACCTAATATAGAATTTTGTTTTGTTTACTATTAATTAATATGTTTCTTTAACATTAATTTTACTATTTTAATTATTCTGTATTCAAAGAATGCAACCCACTATACATTTTGTGTGATTTGTTGGTTGCCTACAGTTCGCACAATAAATCATTTCACCCATTTTAAAACTAAAAACATTAACAATGTTTTTTAACAGTTAATTCCAGACAGTTAACCACAAATTACTTAAATGCTTTTTATTGCCCAGTCAATTCCAGAAATTTTACTATTATTCTGTAATAAATGTAATATTCAATTGATCAATTCTCAATAAAATAGGGTTGCTTAATAAAAAGCCTGTTTTTAACTACCTAGCTACTTTAAACTTTATTTGAAACATTAAACATATTAAACTTTAACATTTTATCAATTTTATAGTCAATTGATGATAGTCAGCCATTGGCAACCACCCCCTCTTATACCCTGGCCCACCACGAAGCGAAATCAGATCCCACGGCGACAAACAATGCGCGAACAACGCGAACAATCAAACAACGCACGCCACGACGAATTCATCGCGCGGCCGTGCCCAACATAATAGGTGTTTTTACATCAGCCCCCAGGAGAAGCGGAGAAGAGGCAGGAGCAGCAAGGAGAAGGATTGGTGGAATGTTGGATGCCATCGACCATGAGACGAAGAGTGGTGCTCGCGTTGAAAGGGCCGAAGCTCCACACGCCGGGCTCGCCTCTCGGTTTGGCGCTGCTTCGGACAGCTTTAGATTGAGTGCTTGCAAAGCACCCGACTTCACAAGAAATAATACAAGGGCTGCACCACTACGTGCAACTGCGGAACGCCCCGCTGTGATGAGATAAAACAATAAAAACAACATAGAAAATACACAAAATTGAAAATAATTTTGAATCAAATATTTATTTGTGGTTTAATTCGGTAATCAGTAAGTTAATCAGCGTAATGATGTTATAACCTAGATTATTTGTTGGTCTGCGGGGTTTTAATTATTTTAAGTATTAAGTTGTTTTCAGGGCCAGCGCAAAACTATTAATTTAAGTGTGTAGTCGTCGTAGTTGTTGGCGTTTCGAGGAGGGTGCATTCTCCACATATTCTATTGTTTCGCGGCGCGCCTTCAAGTGGTCTGCGTCGGTGGCGTCCCTGCTCCCGCAAGAGGACGACAGCCCGAAACTCATTACCTCTTATATTATTCTGGCTCGTGCCGGATTGTTTATTTAGAATAATTGAAAATGGAATTACCTATTGCGAGCTTTGAGCTTTCAGCTTCGAGATGCATGCATGCCGGAGGAAAGACCTTTGTAGTGCGGTTCACAAACGGCAAACTTTAAACAATTTAAAATTATACTTAAATTATTATAAATTTTTATATGTTGTGTTTTAAAAAGAAATAAAAATTACGTTTTTTAAACTAATTGCTTGTTTTTTAAAACGTTTTCATTGCTTTTATATTTATGTTGGTTTCTTTTTCAGAAAGCGACAATTCCAATACTTCTCATCTCTTAATATAATATATCTGTATTTTTACGTGGAGTGTACCTACCTACTGAATACACCCTAATATTATTAGTCCCCTCTTTATAGTTTGCTATTCTTTTTATATATTTACCCCTCTATTTACCTTTACTACCTGCCTACCTGGATTGTTTCTTTCTCTGTCGCTGTTGGATTTATCCGAGAAACATACCAGGTGCAATACCAGGTAGATTATAGCCATCTAGTACTGAGTAGTTGAACCGTTCTTGATTTCTAACTGTTCCAATAAAAGCTTTTGAAGGGAATACCTTTACATACCTTCTGAAAGCTCACCATCAGGTAAGTCATCAGGTAATTTTGGTTGCCTACTATAAAATCCTAATATATATAAAGGTTTATTTGGAACGTACCAATAGGTACCATGTTATACGTGGTTTAATTAAGTCATTATAATATTGACGAGGTAATTATAACTCATAAATATAGTATTGTTTGTTGGAATTTAATGAAGCTATATTCCATTTTTAATTCATTTGATATATAATTATTTTTTGTAAACATACAACGCATCACTTAAATATAAGTATAATTAATTTCCGTTTATTAGTTTTTTAATGATATTAAATTATTGATACTATAGAGCTACAACCATTATTTATAGCCCTATAGACACAAGAATAAATAAAATTTTATTCAAAGCAAATTTAACTGTTTTATGCAAATATTTCTTAAACCAAAAGTGTAATTAAAATAATGTACTTAAATAATTTGTACATCTGATTGTTATTTTTTATAATCACCTCTAAAAAACTTAATATTTTAATTTTTTAGAAAATGCAAATAATTAATTAAAATTTGGTGGAGGCGCTGGGCATTTTTTCAAGTGATTAAATTTTTTTAAAACTAATAATACTTTTGTAAGATTATTAATTACAATATTTACCAAACTTCCTACCTCAGACTTATAATTGTTTACCCTGTATATACTTTTAAATACAACGTCTACTTGCCACGCGACTTAAATATTAAATATCTCAAAAACTAATCAAGATAATTCAAAACGGAAAACTGCATTGCATTCAGCAGACAATTCTACATATGATAAGATTTTAAAACTGGAAATTTTTTCCCGAGAAAATCGATTTTCCGACGCGATTTTCTCGAAAACCATAAAAGTTACAAACAATCTTTTTGCATATTCTTCATGCCCTTACAAGAATCTATAAAATGGCAGATTTAGTTTTTTGATTCTAAGAAGTTGACAAAAACCGACCAAAAGTAGTCAAGAGGTTACACTTGACTACTTTTTGGCCTAAAAATTATTTTTTATGCTAGAAGAAAATGGAAAACGCAGTTCCACAGCGAATTGTAAGAGGATGAAAGATATCAAGTCAGTTTTTTGAGAGCATCAATATTTCGGAAAAATCAGGTGAAAATCAAAACTGTTAAATTTGAACCACCTCTCCAATTTTCACAAAACTTTCTGCACAGGTGCAGAATGATGCAAGGAATCCATTTATCTTGTTTTTGTTTTGATATCTTAATTAGTTTTAGAGATATTGAACATTTTCAATAATTACATAATTGGAGAAAACTTAAAATTTTTATGTCGTAAACTATGTCAAATTATCCCCTGAGTATGAAACTGAAAACCGTTTTCCTCTAACGTCAGTGGTTCGCAAGAAAACTGCAATATTCAGAAATTATTCATTTTCTCTATCATTTCTCATTAAAAAATAAAAATTAAAAATTTAATCATTTTATTGCAGAACATTGAAGAAAACATGATTTTGATTACTTTATCTTGGTAATATTTTGTTATCAGATCAACTGATTAGGCGGTAATCACCATTTCTTGTCAGGTATTGTACACATACAAATTTAAATTTATTGTTTTGATTTTTACACAAAATAATTTAAGATTAAAGTTCGGCCCTGTTGTTCGAGGGAAAATATTTTAAGAAAAAAGTCCGGTCCTGTTGTTCGAGGCAAAAATATTTAACAAAAAAAGTTCGGCCCTGTTCTTCGAGGCAAAAAATTTTAACAAAAAAGTTCGGCTAGGTGGTTCGACGGAAAATATTTAAAAAAAAAAATTCGGCCCTGTGGTTCGAGGAAAAAAATTTTAACCACAAAAGTTCAGCTCTGCCATTTAGCGGAAAACATTTTAACAAAAAAGTTCGGCTCTGTTGTTCGAGAGAAAATATTTTAAGAAAAAAGTCCGACCCTGTTGTTCGAGGTAACATTTTTTAACAACATAAGTTCGGCCCTGGTGTTTGAGGTAAAAATAAAAAAAATACCTACCTTGCGTCACCTGTTTAACTATTCGGGTTCTTTTTCACTTTTATTTCGAAAATGTAAAAAATAGTATACGATGATATCAAAATTATTAAGAAAGCAAATAAGTAAGTCAATCAGGACGAAAAAAATTATAAACATATTAATTAAATCATTGGATTCCGATATAAACAAATCAGATTGTGATTAATTTTTCCACATTTACAAAGTTTTAAAGACATAAAAAGGAATTAAGGATAAATAACAGGGAAAATGATTGCAGTCAGTCGTTTTTAATAAATGAAACTTTAATTTCTAATTTTTTTCTTGTCCAATTCGTCAATCAGTAGGATCCATGCTCGCGCTTCAGCAGCGCCCGCTCATTAAAACACCAACATTTAAATTTTAAAAACATGAAATCTATTTTTATTGAACTAAACATTCATCGTGAACATCGTCGTCATATCGTCCTGTTTCGTTTCATCATTTCTCATATATAATTTGCATCGAATTCATTTCTTTAAGTACATACATAATCTTGAACTGTAATTTGCTTCATTTTTATTTATTTAATTTACGAAATAGGAAATTTATTGTTTGATTTTTGGTTTATCTCTTTCGTGTCAACACATTTCGCTCTCCTCGATCGCGTCGATCTCTCGCCGCGCGCGCCGCTCGTTAGGAAGAAACACTCATTATTATTCAATACGCATATATGCATTATAATAATTTTTATCATTTAGTAATAGTAGTAATTTTAATTAGTGTTTATTTTGTACAATTCGTTTGCTCGTGTGTGTCTCGAAAAACGTTTTCACAGAAATTCGACATTGATTTCGCCCAGCGAGAGACGGAAAGAGACAGAGAGAGTGAGTGGAGGACATGAACGTGTATTATTTACAGGCGCCTGCTTCTTCTTCGCGGAGGAGAGGAGACTGGCCGATTGCTTATTAAGTTAGTTACGCGTTTTTCAGAATTTTTTGTATTTTCATCGACTTTCCGCTCGATCAGCGTCGATTGCTCGTTTGATATGATCCGGGAATGTGTGTGCTGCGTGTGGGCATCGGGCGCGCACTTTTTGGACCGACCCCGCAATTTTGCTAATTTTTCCGCACGGCGCGTGGAGGGCGGTCCGAAATTGCCGCCGTTTGTCAGTCTCAAAAATCTCACATTCATTTCACATTCGACGCACGAACAGTAAATTCATCATCATCATCATCATCGTCATCATCCTTCGTCATTTCTTTTTTCACAAAAACAGAGCGAAAAAATATACGATTTAAACATTGCTTTGGTATCAGTTACAACAAATAATTCAATAATAATAATAATAATAATGAAAAGTGCTAATAATTTGTCTTCAAAAATTACACAATATAATAATAGGTAGAATATATTACTTAGTCGTTTAATTACGTTTAGATTTTCGTAGTTTTACTAAGAGCTAGGATTCGTGGGAGGCGTGCGCTCGTATCCCTCTCATTCACTATGTCTATGTACAATTTGTGTATATGTGTGTTTGTGTTTGTATGTGCGTCCCATTCGAATATACAAAGTTACTCGGATTCCCGCAACTTGATATATTGGAATGGTGCACGCGCTCCGCACGCATATGGAACATCGTCCGTCACTGCGCCGATATGCTATCGGCCGTCACCGGTGGCGCCACCTATCGTTACGTGTCGAGTTTCAACCCTGCGGGGACTAGTACGTGATGCTCGGTGGGGGCGGCGGCAAGCGCATGCCGCCCCATGGGAAGAGTCATGTGGCCTCCTTGGAGGGGATGCTCGCTGATGATGAATCCTCATCACCGGAGAGCATCGGCAGCGAGGCGAGCAGATGCCCCTTACCCTGGTTGACCACACACTTGCGCATGTGTTTCTCCAGCGTCGAGGGTACCGAGAAGGGCATCTCACAGAACCGGCAGCGGTAGACATCCTTTCCAATGCGACCGTGCGTTTTCATGTGGCGTGTTAGCTTGGAGCTCTGTGCGCAGGCGTACGAGCAGAGTTCGCATTTGTAGGGTTTCTCGCCGGTGTGGGACCGACGGTGGACTGTCAGGTTCGAACAGTTTTTGAACACCTTGCCGCAGAATTCACATGTGTCATTACGTCGTGATTCTTTCTTCATTAAAGGTCCTTGCAGGCCAGCTAAACTAGGTCCTGGTAGACCCTTGTTACCCATCCACCAATCATTCCGATCCAGGTCCAGTTTTAACCTTTTTGACATCTCGAAGTCATTGAAAGGTGCAAAAATTGGCAATGATGGATGACCGGATTGAGGAAGTTGATTGCCAGGCAGGAATCCTTTGAAATCATCGCGGATTTTGAATTGGGTGGCAAGGGTGTTGTTGTTGTCACGATCGCGATCCTTCAAATTCATTTGTAGTTTAAGGGCTGACCCTGATTCTTGGAGAGCCTGTTTGTACGCTTCGCTGTATTGTGCGATGTTGCTTAAGCCAAACTTGTCCATGAGTTCCCCGACTAAGGAAGCTGATTGACACTTTGGGTCTAGTTGTGAGGGTACTGAAAGATCCTCAGCTTCCTCCTCTGGTTCCATCTCTTCATCTTCTTCCTCTTCTTCTTCTTCCATGTCTTCATCCTCGGAGTCTTCCCCGTCGATGGTTTCAACTGACCCGGCGTTACTGGTACGGTCTTCTGGAGTACGGTGAATTTTCATGTGGCGTTTTAATTTGGAGCTCTGTGCGCAAGCGTGGTCACACACCGTGCACTTGTAGGGCAGTTCCCCGGTATGCGTACGTCGATGTACCTCCAGATTACTTTGGTATCGGAATTTCTTCCCGCAATAGTCGCATGCATGGATGGCATCTCCTAAATTATTCCTACCCGGTGACATTGGTTTACCATCAGGTGTGGCCGTACTGCGTGGAGTGGTTGTAAGCGGCTCTTCCAGTTTAATGAGGTTCTGCTGTGGTGAAACACTCGAAGGACGCGAGTCTGGATTGTTGTTGTTATTGTTGTTGCCACTACTAGCAGCGGAAGCAGACGAGCTGGTGCTGTGATTATTCTGGGCGCTGCTGCCGCTGGTGCCGGTGGTGGTGTTGGCGGTGTGGCTGGCGGGCAGAGAGGGCGAGGGACTGGCGAACGCTTGCGGCGAGTGCTTCCGGGGCGACGGCGAGCCCGCCTGTGCCGCCACTCCGGGGCTGGTTGTACCAGCGAGTTGCCTCAACCGCTGCGAGTAAAAATCCAGCTGGGGTTCCAACGACGCCGCCATGGTCGCGGCCGCTGCGGCCACTCCGGGCCCTGCGTTGGGGGTGCTGCGCTCCCGCGAGGTCGTCACGGCTGGCTGACGGTCCGCGGGCGAGGGAAAATTCGAATGCGGTGGTGGTGGGACAACACCCCCGCTAGCGGCAACCGCAGCAGCGGCGGCAGCAAGATTCAATCCATAATTACGGAATTGCTCACTGCCCAGCTGCTCCATACGAAAGTGATGCTCAGGACGAGAGAATAGAGGTGCAGGTGGGACAGGTCCATGATTGAGCGGTGGCATTGGTAAACGAAGAAGACTACCAACACCAAACGGGTTGTGTAGGTCAGGAGGAGGTAAAAGATGTCGCATATTATTCGGCACTGGTGGAGCACCACCAGCCGATGAGCATCCCGAAGATGTGCTACTAGTCGATGACGAGCTATGGTTGTTGTTGTTATTACTGGTACTCGACGACTTGCTGCTACTAGTCGGGGAACTTTCCACGTAAATCTTCACTCCGTGCGAATGCTGCACGTGTTGCACCAGACGCCATGCGGAGTGCAGGCGCGCTTTGCACGTGGAACACACGTAATTGCTCGGTTCTGCAACGGAAAAACACTGCATCAGAATAACGATCAAATTTTAATCTAACATCTAACATCACATGGTCAAATAAACGTTTGCTCAAAACTTTGTGGTCGGTCACACATGTGCGCGCAGTTTGCACCCCCTAATAAAGTGAATTTTCCTCAAGGCAGGCTGCGTCGAGTTTAAAAATGAAAAATCGTTCGGACATTTACGACACTGGGATGCGAATGTCGTATGTGGTCATAGGGAGCAACCGAGAGAACCGTCGAGGGTGCGGCGCATACGTGCACAGCATACACAATGCTTTGCAGCAGCGCGACAATGGCCAAGGAAGGAATCGCCAGAGCCGCGCTAAGGAATCATGGATAACTGCACGTCACATTGTCTTTTTTTTGTTCTCTTGCCTTCGCGACGCGCAATGGAGGTCAAAACGAATCGCATTCCGCTCGGAACGTAATCAGCGGCACTCGACCGCTTTTCCTTCCTGGGACCATTGTCTCAATACGTTTTTTTGTCGCGTGCAGAAATAAAAACGTTCTGATATGCACAAAAAGTGTGATATACTCAAGGAAACCAAACCGAAGCTTTACGAATGGAAAGCATACTTCCTTTCTAGTTAAGAATTTGAAAAAAGTATACCTACAGGAGCGAAATTAGTTGGCTATTAATTTTACTCGTATCAAGTGTCTCTTGTTTGCATTTTATAATTAGCAATAAAATACGCATTGCTGGAATGCGAACAGATGTCGAATGCGCCGCTGGCAGTCATTAAAGCATCGATTTTTAATTAGATTGCATAAAAAACATGCACCTAGAACGATTGAATGATTTTACGAGCGTCGCGTCCGCATATCAAAGAATTTTAATGGCGCATGAACGCGTCGTCAATCGACTCTTGAGCATCTTGACCACCCTGACCATCACTCGTAAAAATTCTATCCATTTTATCCACACTATCGGTTGAGATATTTTATGATTCTAATCTGCTTTGCTTTAAAGTCATCAGTCACTTGGACCCTTCACGATAAATAATAAATTAAATTTTTTTCGTTGAATTATGATTCTCTTGCGTGGCGTAGGTATTGTGCGAGGCGATAAAAGCAGGCGATAAGGGCCTAAAGCGGGGAGGGCAAAATGACCGCGATATTCAAATTTTTAAGCCGCTATTCAACGGCAGGCTATTGTTGGACCTCATGGTTCGGACGCGGGGGCACTCCTTATCCGAGAGAGTTGCGACTTGATGCGAAATGTACGAGGCGAGAAGAATGGAATGAAAAATCCCATTCGTGGATATGCGAGCCGAGTCCGTTTTATACTTTTTAAACTGGTATCCCCGGGTGGACCACGTGTGGCGGACGTGCGAACGCCAGCGGACAAGGATGGAAATTGCCATTTTTTTAGACGACGGCGGTGGCGGCGGCGGCGGTGGAGGCGATAAATAATCGCCGCTTCGTGGCTCGACGCGCCTGGACGCTTTTGTGGCCCAGGAGCAAGACCAGCCGGTCGAAGCACGTCTAGTCTAACGTATGCAAATGTGCACGCCCGAGCAATACCCCCCGAAACCCGAACAGCCCAAGAAAACCAAGCAAAAACTATAAAAAATCGCTGGGGCGGCCAACTGGATGCTGGGTTTCACCATCACGTGACTTGAAAACACGATAAGATATTTCTAAATCATACCAAAAGAAAAAAAATCCATACATCTTTCAAAAAACCGAAGGAATAAAACTTTATATAAGATAATTAACAGGAATCCTTTCAGATGTTTATGACGGGTGCCGACCACGTGCCCGAATCTAGTTTACTAAATACAACTGACAAAAAAACTAGTTGGTTGTGTTTAAGCCGACACGGCGTGTGTCTTGAATAAATGAAATAAAACGAAGACACAGGTACGAGGCGGTATTGAGCCATCGGTAGATGTCCTAAGTGGATAGGATAGACACAACAAACACTGAATGAAGACCGCCGCGAGTGAATAAAGTGAATAACGTGAATGAAGACGAGCGACCAACAAAAAAGAAAAAGAAAGGGTTCGGATGCACACGATGAGGATGCACACGCATCGGTAGCGCTGCACGCGCGCCGATTATGTAAAGTTTAATAAGGTACCGCACCGGTTTCAAAAAACAAACATACAGTGTGTCCAAAGTGAAAAATTTAAAACGCAATTCTTGTATTTTCAAATACTTTTTGTTTATAGCTATTACTAAAGTCTAAATATTTTTATTTCATATATTATGAACACACTGTATATTTCTTGTGTTACTACCGGTCTTGAATCATCATCTGCTCATCGCCGCCCGTGTCTGGCGCGCGCGCCGGCTCGTAAAACGAGTTTAGAGTTTTGAATTTACTTTTACCTTTACCTATGTCTTTAATTTTTTTATTCGCATTTTTCCTGCGGCTTCGTGTTGAGCACGTGTCAGTAAGTGAAACATGTAGGTACTCCTAACATCTTCCGAAGTAGAAAAAACTTGAACGAAAACAAAGTCGTGCATCAGACATAAAAATCGATACTTGAATGCATTTGCACGGTCTGGTGGCCTTATTAGCTCATTCAAGGTGCTCACCACGCATTGATATGTGTGATTGTGCGATTGTGATATCGATGATGGGTCGTAGAGGGACACCACGCTGCGAAAAGGGGTTGCTTATTATATTCGTTTACTATATTCATCGACGATGGACGTGAGGCATGGACGCATGGACAATATGTATTGTTCTCATCGCCACCCTCGTCCATGGCACGTAAAATGCAAATGACAACAGCGAACATGTGTCCGCCGGGCACACACAGTTGCATTTTATTGCTGCGTTTATTAAAAATTTTTTCTCGAAAAAACAGAAAAGTTTTGACTTTGAGAATTGCAGTGATGATGAGGGACATATTCGCGTAATAGATTTTTTATTCCGTTAGGGGTGGACCGCAGAGGGGTGAAAAAACATAAGTGATAAATAAAGATAACATTTTTATGATTTTTAAATTTCTATAAAAAATAATATTTTATAAAAACTTGGACTTGGATAGAAAAGAGTTGTCATCAATGTTATGATTCCGTCCTTGACGTCTCACACAAAAATTGCGAACTTATTAAACGTCCACGTTTCACATTTTGCGCCATCCTGACACGTCCCGAAGGGGGTGAAGTACAAGTATCATATACGACCCTTTGCACACTCCACCACGTGTGACACCAAAGTGACACTTTTCTAATTTAGTCCTCAACTCTTCAAATTCACTTTTCCACCAGCCCTCACTGACTGCTAGCAACGCAAATATTGTCCAACAAAAAAAGGCGACTTACCACTGTGTGTTGTATTGGACTCGGCGTCGGCCACCTCCGTTCGACTCTTCTTACACGAGCTCTCCTCCTGCCCACTGGACGAGGTATCCATCCGCTCCTGTTTAATACTGGGCTTGATGTCATGCTCATCCTCGATGGAAGACGTGAGCGGCGACGAGGAAGCACGATGTTTGGGTGTGGATGATGCAGCACCATCCACGCAGAGATCACCGGGAGCGGGTAAACGCGGCGAGGCTGGAGGCGGTGTATGAACACGCGTCCCACTGCTCGAAGCCTTCTTGCCCGAGATGGGCGCCGATATACTCGGCCGGCGTGAATTGATCGCCGCTAGTGGATACGCGCCCTCGTTTGCATCGTTGTCGTTGCGATCCGTCGCGTGCGGATAGCAATTATTCTCTTTGTTGCACGTGGTGATTTTGTGCTGGATGAATCGCACGATATCACCCAATGCGAAGGGCTTCTGGCATGCCCCGCACGTGAGGATGTCCTGGTGATTATCATTCGTCATACCCTCATCAGTATCTGCAATATAAAACATAAAATAAACATTTTGAGTGTCACTGGTGGGATTATGGTATAGTGTGTAAAACTGGTTTACACTTTGGAAATGTATACAATTGGTGTTGTTGGAGTGTCCAATGCGAGTGGAGAGTGTCCGATCGAAAACCAGTTCGGTCCACTCGAGTCCGGTTTCACCCTCGTGGGTGACCGTCCCTTCGCGTTGCCTTGACCAATGAGAAGCCGTGTGAGCGCGGCCAACGGTCAAGCGATGCCCGGCCAATTGCAAAATTCTCTCACATTGCATCTTGGACAGGTAAACCCTATCAATGTATCACCTTTCTTAATACTTTTAGAGTGGTCACTGCGTTTGTATCAAATTTTCTACAGTTTAACCCTTTTCTTAGCCTTAGCGACTTTTAACGGTCAAATAAGCCCTGAACGCAAGATGCAATTAATGTTTTTTCGCTTTAAAGGGTTGACGATAGCAAAATATGAAGTGTATGCACATGGCCGAGCTGAAGAAAAAACAAGGCAAGGGTTCCCCGAGTGTACAATACGAGCGGTTTGTTTGGTCCATTATTAGAGCGCATGCTGCGCGCTCACCTCGCAGTGAATGAGCACCTGGCCCATTCTGCATGCGACACAACCCGCCGACGAAGGAAAAAAACACCAATGGCGGACGTGTACAATGCCTTCCAGCAGCGAGACGCTGTGCACGTCCAAAACTGCCCCAAAACCCTTCTGTTTCAACTGCGTATTTTCAAGTTGTGTTCAATTTACTGGACATAAACATATTTCTTTCTCAGAGCACAAATTTCGATCACTGGCTGCCGATACAGCCGTAATGGAAACCGCAATTGGCAATTTGTGTTATCTGGAAGTCTACGCGGGGCGACTAGTTCATATGTTTTGTTTGCTTCGATTTTTTCCAGGAGGGTGAAATATCTCGTTGCGTTGCAAATTGCCAGTCAATAAGTCGATAACTTTCCGCGCATGGAGACAATATCGAGATATATCAATAAAATATACATATAAATCGAAAAGCGGATGAGATCACGAGCCGAAATTGCGTCGCGACGCTGCAAACAAAAGCGACCCAATTGACCAGGCGGCGCAACACCAGCGAAAAAATTATTTTCGGTTATTTTTCTTAGTAAATGGCTGAAATTTCTTTGCTAGCCGGCGGCAAAACGTCAGATAAACTCGTGATCGCGTTAGTGTCGGCGGCGGCGACACTCCCTTGTCCCCTAATAAGATAATCCAGTTGTTTTGTTCGCTGTGCGTATTTTTTGTCTTGCCAAAGGTTGGTCAGTAATCGAATCAACCCCCGACACCTTCGACTTGTCACACTGGCATCACAGCGATGCGCGTAATCGAATGACCTCGCACGTTCCTAACGACATTAATTTTTTGCTCGTGTTTGTTTTACTCATCGAGCAAAAATAAGATATAGATATACGAAAGTAAATAAAACTAGTTTAGAAGTCAAGGGGAATAAACTATAAGTGTTAATTTGTTGGAGGGTTTTTTCGGGGACACTCTGTATGTTTATTATATTTCTGTGCGAGTGGTGTAGTCATTTATGCATTCAATCACTTGATCTCCGGCGTACATCGACGTTTTGCGGCTTTATTCCGCTTTCACGCAGAATATCAGTCACGCCCTTGCTTTTATTGCATTGAATCGCATCGACCGGTTCGGCTCGATTGGACGAAACCCCGAAAAATAACATAAAATATTACAACACATGTCGCTAAATAATAATCCGTGGCGCAGAGGGTTATCGCTAACAAGTAGCCAAAAAGGGGGATCGATATCGGTGGAGACAACAACGTAAGAACCACGCATCAGATACGGATTGCCCGAAAAACCACGTCACGAGTATTTATTATTGACATTTTGTCGAAAAAGGTCCGGCCATAAATATTTTTAATTGCTACGTTTAATTTACCACCAACATACAGTGTGGTCAAAAAATCAAATAAAATTTTTTGTATTTTTGTTTTTTGCTTGATTTTAGTAGGTTAAAATCATATATTAATGTGAATGATTCCCAGAAAACTATTAAAAACAGAAGGCACAGTATAAGACACTTGATTAGAAATAGCCCTTCTCGACGGCGGCGACGTGGCTGAAACAGTTAGTTACACTTCTGATTAACTCGTAACGTTCGTCGCGTTCTTTCGCCGGCAGGCGCCCCGAGCGCAATTGCCGCGCTCTCGAGCACTTATTTTATTGGCGGCTCTTAAGCCGCCGCCGTGATAAATGTGATAAACGGCGACGCAGGTCGTGACACAAACTGCGCCGCCGCCCCGCACTCGAATCAATTTATTCCGATTGGAATGCTCCGAATGCCGGCGCGCCATCCGCCAGCCATCGGGACGAAAGGATAATAAACGAAAACGAAATGTGCGCGCAGTGATAACAAGTGGGACTATATCAAATATAAACAAAAACAATTGCCGAATATAACGCAAACAAAAAATAATGTTTCACTTTTATCATCTTGAGATAAAAATTAGAAAAAACTCACCAAAATCACTAAAACTTTGAATGTATTGTTCCCAAAAGTTACGCATCTTGACCAACAACTCCTCTTGTTCAATATGAAACAACTTCATTGTATTTGTAACTAATCACAGCACTGATAATAACATATCATCACAACGTTAAACTTGTAAAATAAAAAAGTTTCAAAATTAAATTTTTTAAACTTGGATAGATGTTGATGCGTCGAGCCACGGCGAGCAACTGAATCCCTCCGTGCTGGACCGTGATTTTTATTCTATGGTCACTGCACACCCTGACACCCCACAGCATAGCCCAGGTAGAAAAAGAAATTCGAATTAAAAAAATCGTAGGGGATAAATTTTCTATGTGGGGCTGATATGACTATGACTGAATCTACATTAAGGGTGAGATGCTGCCTCACTAATAATTTCACCCCATTATGAACCAGGAGCTTAATAAGGGTCACACTACTAGATATAAAAAACGTATGGTAAAAAAATACTCTGGGGTAAGACAAGAAATGATCTTGAGAAAATTTTGCGGATGTTTTTTTCTAATAAATTTTTTCACCATGGGAAAATATTTTTAATGTTCGCAAAACTGTTTATTCATCATATTTTCAATGTGTCGTTGAATCGAGTGACCCTTCTCGGTGGGCTTTGTGCGTGGACAATATTTTGCGCCCCGATAAATCGTCCGTCGCGGCGCAAAGAAAGAGTTAACGGCGCAAACAGGTAGAAGCTGAATGGATGAATAACAAGCGGACAATGCGTGCCGTTTACATCCGACGTGGATCTGAACGGTAGGCCTACAGGTCCCTCACTTGACCATTGTCCCTCGAGGTCCAGATGCGCCCCCGTTTTGCGGCCGCGGCTCATGTGGAGCGTGGGAGCGACCCTCACAACGCACACACCTTGCCATTCCAATTCCGAACCGAAATTAAAAACCTTTCCATTCATTCTTGGTACAGATTAAACAAGTTTAGACATTTAGACATAAGAACACCTACGATACGTTTCGCGACCGTTAGATTTGATGATCCACCACTACTCAGATGAGAAAACAACAGAACTGAGCTCATCATCATTTTTATAACGTTCTACTTCTTGATGCACAGCTTCTTGTTGTAGGTGTATCGTGGTAATAGTTGGTTTGGTTTCTTTCCTCGCATTATTACAATTTTCCCATCAGCTAGCCAGGTCCCACATTCGTTAGGTTTGTTAGCAAAGTTCGAAAATTAAAAACGCCGCGCATTCGAAATGAATGGAAGCGTGCGCGAAAAAGTTACCGCCGCGCGATTGTTGTAAGCTTCCTCATCCACACATGGAACATCTACGCATTAATTAAAATTTTAATTAATGTTAATTAGCACGGACGCTATTCACAAAACTTTTGATTGTACTTTTCATCGAATTTCAAAGCAAATCTAGCACAATAATTTTATTGACATTTTTTTTCAAATTTCCAAGAGTTTTGTGAGTTTTGTTTGAGTTTGCTGCGTGTAAAAGCGATATTTATTTATATCGCGCCGAAAATAACTCCCCCGAAACGTTGTTTAGGGTCAAGGGCTTCAGCGTGCTGCACACACCATAAGATGCAAAAGATGCATCGCCTAATAATTTTCGTCTTGGCTGCGTCTCTGCGCTAAAAATATACCACCGGCAGTCTCTGGAAACCAAACGAATACGTTTCAGGGTCGCCTTGACTCCGACGATGAAAGACTTTCTTAATATATTTTATTTTTTCTTCGTTTTGAGATAAATAATTTTCTAATACCTGAAACAATATTTTCCCGCCTGTTATTATTATCGAGTGCACAAGATCGATATCAACTCGTGAGCTGGTTGCAGTTCCTCCGAGAATTCCAGACGCGCATCTCGCGTGTGTGTGCACTTTGAAACATTTAAAGCGTCGCAGCGTAATATATTTCACATGCACAAGACAATAGTCATACGCGCGCGGCGTTTTCCACGTTTCTCTTTTTCGAGCGGCGAGCAGCGCGCAGCAGCCGAAGATATTAACGTGGGAACCGGCTGATATCGATCTCACACTTTCTGGACCATAAAAAATTGCCAACGCGCGCGCGAGCGATGACTACGAATGACCCGAGAGAAAATATTGCGCTTTGCATGCGAATACGGACACATTATGTTTGAAGTTAGATGCGAATCCGAGAAACGCAGAAAAGATCGTTAGCTGAGAGCGGAATTGAGGAAGTGCCGAGTTGATGAGGTGACACACAGGGCAAGGTTGATTTTCGGTTACCTGTCGAGACAATACATTGGTAGTTTGGCTTAGGTTTTGCCTGTGTGGTGATATTTTACGCTTTTTGCGAACGTCGGCGATAAACTGAGTTAGTATGCCATTAAAGTGCACTTAACACTAGTTAAACCCATGGTTTTAGCTATAATAAGTTGACTTTTAATTGGTTTTCAGCTTGATAATGGATATATCAGAGTTGTTATAGGTTTTTGGTTTTGAGTGGAAAGTTGAGATTCATTTTTTCTTTGTTTGTTCTTTTCTTTTGGTCAATTAGACATGTAACAAGTTGATTTGTGACTTTTATGAAAGATTCTTATATTATTCATAATAATTGTGATAAAATTTGCTTAATTTGATTAATTTTCTGTGTTAGTTTGCAATTAATTACTTAGAAAACAATGAATTTGATTCTGATTTAAATTTTTCTTAAACCTAACCTAACTTAACCTCAAAAATTATTTTATGACAGATTTCTAACCAAAAAACAAAACAATTTTTCATTTCCTGTTGAAATTTGTTGAATTTTCGTAACCTTTTCTACTGATGTATAATTTATTCATGATTATTGACTGTAAAATGCAAATTTTAGTGACTTTAGCATAGCTACAATAAATTTCAAAATATTTCTACGTTCAATAGTCTTTCCGTGATTTTATTGAAGGTAATTGTTACACATGGAATAACATGTTTTCGCGTTGTTTTCACGCGTGAAACTTGCGAAACCAGAGGAAACGTGACGCGTGATAATTTCGCGCGAGCCGCGCATAAAATTCCCCAGGTAAGCGCACGAAAGGTGGTTGGTGGTTGTTGTCTGTGGCGCCGCATGTGTGAGTGTATTTGCACGAAGCAAATACGTTTACGATCGGCATCGGCAAACACGCGGCCGGCCATGTTTGCGGCGGCGATAAGCGCGCGCCGCCCGCCTGTTATCAGCGCGGCCGCGTCCGTCGTGTCGGACGCGCTTATCAATTGGCAAACACCCGCGCGACGGCGACGCGCCGACCTCACCTGGATGGCTTTTCAACTTTTTCAAACTTTTCCACCTTTTAATAACTCACATCCGCTTACCTAACACACACTAAATGAATAAAATGAATAAAACACATAGGCAGTACCTACCTATATAAGAAAAAATATAATAAAACATGTAAATTTATACTCAAATCGTAATTATTAATACGTTTATTACGATAAAGTTATTGTGATAAATATAACCTTGAGGTGTGTCCTTTACAGGCGCGTTAATGATGATATCATATCGCGCCGTAATATTTTCTAGGTAATTGTCGGCCAAAACACAAAAATGTCACTCCGCCAGTCAAGTATTTGCCTTCGGCTTATCTAATAAAGCTATGAGAAGTACGCTCGCTGGTAAAACTCGAAAAGAAAAAAAAAACATTAAAGGCACTGATAACGACATGCATTGTCTGAAAATATATTAATCACCCAAGGTTTTTCTATTTCCAGGCAACACCCAGTATGCTAGGTGACCGTCCACACGTGGCGCCCCTCGCTTATCACAACTTTTGCCTACTTTCAAGCCTCGAATATACCTACTAAACATGAATGTGTGCGATTGTTGTTGTTTGAATTCATTTGTAGGAAACGCGATGGCGAATGAGAGCGACACGTTTATCGCCCCGCATGCATCGTCGACGAGTTTAAATATTTACACACCGCCATCGCGCTTAATTATCGCCGGCGCGCATGTGACGCTCGCGCAGCGGGGATTAAAAAGCAAGCAAGCGCCGAGAAGAAAAAGAGGTATGACCAGTGAACAACAGCAAAACTACTACTGCTGCTACTGCTACTGAACAAGAAGAGAAAGAATGTGGCGAATCTGTGTTCGGTGGACCGGTCATGTTCATGTATAACTGGTAGGGTGACGCGTAATAAACGCCGCGTGATTGGCCCAAACCGGAACAAAAACACAGCGAGATATGAGATAATTGTTATGAACAACAAACTGGTTTGGCTGGACCAATCTCGCACGCATAAACAAAATGGAGTACAATCAAATTAGATTACTACGCTGTGTGTTTTATTGAAATTTGTTTGTGTTTTTTACAGTTTTTCGCTAAGCTTTGCACGGAATGGTGAATATCGTCGTGGTTTTCCGTGGACGTCCACAAAAGCGTGACATTTCACGGTAAAAACGCGTTTCTAAACGACCAACACGACCGGCAACGTTTTAAAATAGAATAAGAATAGAAATTTGTCTATGTATAAACATTACATCTACAGGTTGTTCATGAAAATCTTAAAAATTAAAATTTTTCATTTAAATTAAACAAATAAATAGTTTATTTTAAAAAATTTGATAGTTTTATGATAAAATTTTGATTAATTTGTGTTTTTTGTTAATTTTTTAATGAAATCTTATGTTTTTAAGTGTTTTTGTTTGTGCTGTGGGTCGTAGACATCTTTCGCGATGCGTGACCATCCGTAACCCTAATTCCTCGGAGATCTGACCAGCAAGACCGAGTGACCCTCGTCATTATCCGTCCGAAAAGGTCACCACACAACGCCGACGCGCACTCGCGAAGAACCGAATGGTCCAAGGCGACCTGATTCGAAGTTGCGATGCGAAACGACTTAAGAACGGAAATCCTCTCATTCAATAGCGAGTGAAAATTTGAACCCGACAAAAAATCACCGTCAAAATTGTCTATTCACAATCCAAAAAAACAATCAATACTTAGTTTGGCGCATAAAGATATCAATCTCATTCCGTCTCATTTAATTTCATTAAATCACTTGAAGTTAGTTGGCGAATTTGATAAATTTATAGGCTTAACCGCATGCGTACGGCAGTCCTGCGCTTTTATCTGATAGAATTTTAATACCGGCGATTGCTTGTGGTCGCGAGTAACATGTACACGTCCGTCATCCTGATGCGATGGACATGCAACATCGAAGAACGCCTGTTATGCAAATAATGCGTACTGCAGCCACGCAGATCGCTGAAAAAGCGAAAATAATAAGACAACGGAGACAATGTAACTGCAAGACGCGAGATGAACCGTTGGAGATATAAGCCAGGCAACCAAATATACGGCAAGCTACGGGTGAATTTGCGAAAAGATTAGTCGATATTATGCTGCGTTTAGTAATGCACCAATTTAGATGCAACGCACTCGCGCTGCATTTAATGTGCGTAGAGGTTGCGAGGAGAGTTCGCTCGATGCAAATCGATTTCGCCTCCATTCGGGCGTCGATCGATTCTGACCAATTTTGAAATAGTGTTTCGTCGTCGTCATTGCGCTCGCCAGCGACGTTGGTGTTCCCTGTTTAACTGCTCTTTGGTGTAGAGAAATGTGCAATAAGGAAATCATTCACACTTGGCTAGGAACCTACTGCCCTTTTGTATACGTAATAATAAAATTTTGAATTTATGGTGGAAATCTGGATTAAAAAATCGAAAAATAATAAAAAAATGCAATCCAAAAAATGTTCGTTATTTTGGGGAAATTTTTGTGTAAAAAACGGCGGAATTCTATCAAAAATACATTAAAAATACCTATAATTTTGCAATTATCTTAACCAAAAGTTTGTAAATAGTTTTGTACCATTAATAAAACATAATTTTTCTTCTTTTTATTTTAAAATATTCAAAAATTGAGCAATAATTTTAGAAAATAAAATAAATACATTTTTTAAAAGATTTTTCCTTCAATAATATTCGCACTCCAAAGTTTTAATTAATTATTGTGTTTAATATTCAATTTTTATTTTAAATTTAAATTTTTATAAATTTTCAGAAATATTGATACCTAACTTTGGCCAATAAAAGGTTTTTTAATTAAATATTTTCACCGCAATATTCAGAATTTAATACCAAATATATTTTTGAAAAAATACCGAATATAAATTTATTACTTTGTGAGTAATTAATTAATATCTATAACTTTCCAGTGCATTTCCAGCTCAAACTAAAAATTCCTCACCGATAACAATTTTCCCTGAAATATTAACATATTTCCTAATGCAATTACAAAAATGTTAACTTCTCTCCAACATTTTCGCAAATGAAATTTTAAAGCCTCAATTATCGCATAATCTGCGAGAGACTTTCAGACATTTAAACCGTTTAAAAATCACACTTTTGGAAACAAAATGATTTCTCCGCGTAAAACGTAAACGTTTCCTTCATTAAAAGGTGTTTTAAGGTGTTTTCGCATGTTTACAACAAGCAGCAATGATGAAACTGCAGCGAACGTGCCGTTTTCCACGGCTTTTAATCAGGCACACAGCATCGACGCAAGATCGACGCTTCGCAGAAATCGGCCACGGCGTGCCTGCTCGCCGGCGCGCATTTTTCTACCGGCGTCTGCAGACGCGCGTTTATCACGAACATAATATGCATATTAGCGCGCGCGCGCGCTGGCTGTGTCTTAGCGAACACGGCCGCGAAATAGTCATGCGGCACGATTAGTTGTGGTCAGTAAAATGCAACACAAAACGCGCAGAATGTGCCAACACAATCGCTAATACATAAACTAACATTCGTACTCATAGACTCATACTTATACTCATACTGAATGTCTCCATAATTATTAAATTAATTTTCACAACAATTTTTGGCGAATTTTAATGAAAAAAATGAAAATTTTTTTCAACCAACTTTGACGATTTGTTTTCATAGCATTTTGAGCATTAATCACACAATTGTCGCGCACAACACTCGCAATCGTTTTATCAGTTATCAGCTACACGGTTGTGGGCGATACGTCATCGCGACATGGACGCGCATATTAAAAGCGCCGTTAATTAGTGACATATTTCGACCAGAACAATGCAATTCAATCGTTGACATATTTCCAGCTAATAACAGTTTTTTTTTTGTTTCAAAATTTTTTTTTTCTACGAATATAATTTTGGAACGTGCTGCGAACGTGTCTTAAATTTTCATCCCTTGTTAGCACGCGACGGTTTTATTCAACCCTTATTTCTATCTTGTATCATCCTCGTAGGTATCTATTTTTTTTTCGTAATGTAGTGTTTAGGGTTGATGAGGGCAGTAAAGAAAAGGTTTCTTGGGGTGGCACTGACCACGCACCGGCACTTGACTGGGTTGAAAATATGCAAATCAACCCTTAACAAAGAATGGCATTTCGAGTACACAACACTACAAGTAGTTTTAATCTTAAGGTCAACACTTGACATTATTTTCGTTGTAACTTGAGGAATTTTAAGGGATGATGATGATAAGTTTTTAGTTTTTACTTACCTTGGGCAATACGCACTGCTGGCATTTTAATTCTCATCTTGGAGTCCGTTGTGTTGCACTCTCAGTCCAGAAACGAAAAATAAAAACAACTTGTTTAATCAACGCAAAACTTTGAAATCGTCCTCCGAATAACTTGCGGTGGCATGTGGCCGAAAAACATGCTCAATGTACAGAGCGTAGTCGCTTTTCCTTCGGTAACATTTCACACTGTTTTCCGTAATCCAATCAAAACGAAACAAAAACGCAAAGTCACACTTTTAATAAAAAATAAAATTTGTTCGTTTGTTGTGATGAGCGAAAAAATTAACAACACTATCACACTTTGTTTTAAAATCGTTTTGTCGTTGTTGAGACGAAAAACACTAAGTCCTGTAGTCCTTGCAGGTGTAGCAGCAGCACAAGCGAAACGCGCTAAGTTCTTGCACGACGTCGACGACTCGCTAGCGCGGTCCGTCGGGTCCGTCTGGCGCGTCTGGCGTGGACCGGCGGAGTGATGCTGAGTAGCCAGTGGCCTGAACGCGTGTGTGCCGTCGGGGGGCTCGCCGCGGACATGCGAGCGCGAGCGGCGAGCAGCGGGCGAGGACGAGCCGGCGCGCCGCGACACACACACACATACATTGATGATACACACACACAGTGTACTGCTCGCTTCGTCGGGCAGGATCGGCGGCGAGGACGAAAGACGAGGACACGCGCTAGCCACCCTAGCCACCACCGGCCGGGAGGGTGCGCGCAACTCACGGTGTGAGTGTGTTGCGGCGTGTGCACCTAGGAGAGAGGAAGGGATGGGATATATTCCACGCGCATGCCGCTTCCTACCCTTCGCAACACACACGTGCATACGTGTTGTTTGTACGCATGTGGTGGGGAGGATGACCGACGAATTGTGCGGAGCTATCGTTATATACCGACATACGGATATATATCACGCAAGGATAACAGCGGAAAAAAAAGGGTTGTGAATAAATTACGTTACAATTTGTTGTTAGTTATTAATTTCACTTTTACTCTCGGTGTGCGAATAATTAATTAAGCGCGTCGCGACGCGCGGAGTTTTTAAGTACACATCGCGACGAGACGGCGTGCCGCCGACTAACGAAGCGAAAGCTGCGGAAAGTTGAAAACGCGAAAAAGCGGAGAGCGCGCACGCGGCGAGAAAAGTTTCATGCGAAAATTATAAGAAGCTGAAAATGAGAAATATACTCCAACACACAAACACACACAGAGAAACATAAAACAGTTGTGTTAGGGTGTGCGGGTGGTGGAGGTGGTGGTGGCGTGTTTCTAGCTTTCCACCGCTACGCGCCGCCACCGATACGAGGGTGCGTTGCGAAGCTATCATGAAATTCACTTCACTTGCTGAGTTTTACATCTTGTACAAAATATAAAAACGTAAAAATTTGATTTTTTACATTTTAGGTTAGGTTAGGTTAAGTTAGGTTAGGTTGACAACACAATTATAATTTTTTCTACTCTCGCAGAAGAATCTTAAAGTCAAATTAACCGTTTGATCGTTTTGCACGTTCCGAAACGTTTAGAAATCGAAAGTGAAGCAATCGCAATAATCGCCGGTGTGGGTCGTGCGCCCGCCACGAATGTAACCGACATTCATGAATGTGAATCGCAGCCAATACATGAGTTTTATTATTTGGTTCATGTTCACACAACTCATATGCGTTAATCGTTGCGGAGACCGATTTGAGCGTGTTTCTCGCACTCACTTGAGTGATTCAAACATGTGTGTACACACATTCACGTGATGTGCATGATCAGCGTTTACCTTTGCGTTACTCACGGTTCAAGTAGAGATAACGTTGAATATTCTACGAATTTATAGATATATTTATATTATCTATGCATTTAAACTCATGATTTATTAAAATTCTTAAAATAGAGAAAAATTGAGGTTAGAATTGCAGTTGCCATAGCAACATAACCTAACTTTCTTAATATATTGCGTTTATAGGTTAGATTAGACATGCTACGCATGTTTTTCTTTCACCTAACTGCTCACAAGTCAATTTTGCAACAAAATAATTTTTATCCATGACTTGTAACTTACTTTCAACACTCATTAAATCTGATATTTGATTGTGATGTCATTCGTATTGAACACATTGAACACATTTATTTCTTAGAGATATAAATTCATCATCGACGTTTAAATCACGTTAAACACATGCAAATTACCCAAATTGATGTCAAAAATGTACACATTTCGAGGAGATTAAGCGTGAAATTCAAACTAATTTGTCACTGTACGTCGCATCAAACAAAACCTGCATGCAATGACCAAAATTAAATTTTAAATCTACGATTGGCCGCAAACAAGTATAGATGTATGTAAGTACACAAAACATTGTAGTCAATTTTTGTTGTCCATAATAATATTTTACATAATGTGAATACGCGCTGCGAGAGATGAGAGATTCTTCGATTCGACGTCGGATAAATGTCAGACGAAAATTGCGCTTGACAAATTGTCCGCAGCGTGTTTAAGGCTTAAACGCGCCAGTCTAAACACATGATTTTACTTTTATACAGAGTGTTACACGTAAATATATTAAATTAAAACTCGTTTTTATTGATTTTTAACGAAGCAAAACGTAAAAGTTAATTTCTAATTACAAGCATGAGATTTACTATGAAATAATTTATTTATGAAGTTGATACGTGTGTAAAACGCAAATTAGGTTTATGTACAGCATTTATATACTACGCATGCGTAATAAAATATTAATTTTTTCTATATTTTCTTATTTTTTAAGTAAATTTTATTTTTTAGACCGTTATTCTACACATAATACAAAAATGATTTATTTTGTTACACCCAGTATAATTTCATCGTTTTATTTCTCACTTTGACAACATCTCCGTATAATAAATACTCGGTTAGTGTTTTACGCACGTCGCGAACACAATTCGTACGATTACAAGTGCGATTGAAGCTTTCATTGGACTTTGAATACCGAATAAATTACAAAAATTTATTTCGATAAATTTGTTTGTATTAAAACATAAACTCACCAGCATGCGCAATTTGTATGCCAATACATAACATAAATCCTACAATCGTTTATAATTTCGCTCGCGAATTTTATTTATTTCGGAAAAAAATGTTATCGCTCAGTTATTATCACGATAACCGCAAAATGGAAGGCACTTAAATAAATCCGTGATTACACTGGGAATTCCAAGATGCAAAGTATTAAATTTAGGCACATGTGATGAGTAATGATTAAAATTTGCGAAATCTAAAGATTTGCAAGATTTGCGGGCAAAAAATAAAAACAGACGATTGCAATTGCGGTTAACTAACCTAAAATATTATAAACATGTGTTTTAACATATACAGGGTCAGATTACAATCAAAATTTTGTTTTAATTAACAAATAAATGTTTTTAATGTAATTTCTGCTTAATTATATCATGTTATAAAGCTGTCATCATTTTCTTCATTTTTGAATTTGTAGAATACTCGTATGTGACATGTTGGTTCTTGTGACTTAACTTAAGTCGTGTTTCCATCCTGGCTCGCTGGACGCACATGTGCGTGCGCGTGTGAAGATAACTTATATAACACGCATTGCGTTTTCTTCCCCTGGAAGATATATGGTTGCACGTGAGGACCATGTGCTCCATGTGTTCCAGAGCAAAGCAATGTCGGTGGTGGCCGTGGCACTCGGACACGTAGCATCTCTTCGAAACTCTTCGGCGTTCAATTTCATCATCATGTGCGTCTAGACAAAATCCAAGCGCTCGCGTCGTGTAGGGTTGCCGCATGCTATTTTTAACTGCTCTGGATTTCTACCGCTTCGAACGCTACAAATAAACGCAGACACCCCCTTGCAGACATCGACGATCGACTATCTTCAACCAAATGCAAGTTTTCAAAAATTTTCAAGGTCAACGGTTTAAAAACCTTCTTCAAAAAGTAAAAATTTTATTTTTTTATTTTTAGTGCATATTGTGTATTAATTTGTAATTAATACTTATTTATTGTTCTTAAAATAGGTGACTTCATTGTTTTCGTAACTCCAGTGTGCAGAGTACGGTTCCGTTTACGTTGTGGCACACGAGTCGGAAAAAAGTGTCGTCATTTCCGCCATGCGTTTGTTATGACAATAAAAACGCCGATGAAAAACAATGAAAAAACTAGTTCCGCATGTTTCGCCGACTGCGATGCTTAGCACTGGAGCAGTTTAAGCGAAGGAAACATGAGGATGTTCCGCATGTGGCGGCGCTTCCATTACTCTCTTTTTTTGCTGCACGCTAAAAACAAAACTTCAAGCTAAAATTAAACCAAACAAAACACATTCCACTAAATAACGAAGACGTCATAGATGTATGACGTATGATTGTGTCATTGTTTAAAAAGTGATTGTTTAATATTTTAATGATTCTTAAGAAAAATTATTGGTAGACGAGAAATAATAAGCACAAAGTTAAGTATTTGGTGATAGATAAGTATTAAAAGTGTAAATTTAGTGATTTTAAGGATTTAAAGTGAAATAATTGGAAATGTTTATTAAAAACAAAATTATTTATTATTTATTGTTATTTATTGATAAAAAACTATTAAAAGTGTAATTTTAGCGATTTTTAATGATTTTAAACCCGAAAAAAGCAAAAAATTATTATAAACAAAATAATTTCTTATTTATTGTTATTTATTGATACTATTATAACAAAAGTGTGTATAAAATGTTTTTAAACAGCAAAAAATGAAATATTTATTGATAAAAAACGATTAAAAGCGAAATTTCAGTGATTTTTAGGATTTTAACCCCAAAAATCAATAAAATTAATTATAAACAAAATATATCTCTATTTATTCCTATTTATTGATGCTTAAATAACCATACAGAGCAAAAAATCAATTTCTGAACTACTTATAACAAGAAACATTCAACATTTCAGTATATTAACAAATTTGTCATGGTTATTAATAAATCCGCGTGATAAAGCATTTGTGTCCGCATCGGATGACGAGCGCGTGCACGATTCCACGTAAAGGTACACACCAATAAAGCGATAACTGATAAGACCGCCATCCGCAAACAGTGATACGGCCATTCCAGCGAACCCGTCCGACTGATTACTATCGCGCCTCTTTATCAGCCGGCCGTCTGTTGACATTTCTCGCTCTCGTTGCGCACCGCCCGTCGTGGTTTCATTATTTACACAAAATCGGACACGTAATTCACCTGGAACACACACACACACCAAAATTCACCGAATTCATCATCAGCGTGATTATCAACTTATATCCTAACATATTAGAATTACATTAATACAAAATTCAAAACAACGATTTTGAATGTTTCATTTTCATGTCTTTCTTACCTGTATTCTTAGCTGGATCATATTTGGCGTCGCTTTCAAACGTGCCGTTCAAGACGAAGTTTTAAATGTGATGTGCATGGGTGTTTGACTATTGTTTGCATTGAAGGAGTGACTCTCGCGAGTCATTAATCCAGGGCCGTATTTTCAAAGCAATAAAATTTTTATTATTTGTATTGGGTTGTTATTGGTTGATGTGTGAGTT